GTACTCTAAAATTAACTTCACAGAAACTTACCTGAGCCTAAAATGAACCTAAACCTTGGTCCTAAACCTAACCCCACACCTGGAACACCGTGGGGACCCGTGGGGACCTGAAAATGGTCCCCACGATTCACTTCAGTCCCCACCTGGCTGCTTTTTTTTTGTAAAAAATACCCCACGTTGTAGGAAAAACCCGTCCCCCCCCCCACACACACACACACACACACAAAAAGCAAAAAAATATTCAAAATGTATAACAAATGACTAGTTTAACATACATATCAATACAGTGATTAATTACAGGTCATTAAAGTTGATAAATGTTTAAAATCTATAATTAACCATTTCAGTTTATAAAAAAGTTGCTCCAACAAAACTGTTCAGTTTCTTAAATTGACTTCTGTTCCCTTTTTATGAAAATTAATGGTAAAGAGTTAATTGCACTTTTTTCATTGATCTGTAAGTAAAGTTGCAATTAAGAAAATTTGTTTATGCCCGAGAAATTTGAAAATGTCCTGCATGGACTTTGGAGTTTTAAGATTTTCCATGTTATGAATAATAGTGAAGCTATTAACCCACCCCATCTGATCCAGCCCTTCATGAGTTTTTAGCGTCAAGTTAGTCAGATGTTTTCACTGCAGCAGGAAAAATGTGTTTTAGTGTTGAAATAAATGGATTTTATGATCGTATGACATATATAATCAGAAACACTTAATGTTTAATTAAACTGGAATAATTCCAAATAACTACAAAACAAAAATATCATCCTAAACCAAACAGTAATGTTACCATCAGTTACAACAAATGTGGGGGATTGCGCCCTCTGTCCCAGTTAAGACTGTAYCTGTTCCTTGCATAAGAAGAGGTGGTATGATTTTCCTCTGATGCAGTTTTATATTTGATGGCCAATAAGTTCTGTGTTAGTCTCATCTGATCACAGCACCTTTTACATGTGCAAGGAGTTTCCAATATGCCTTTTGATGATATTCAATTCATAAATTGTGTTTTTCCTGCCACTCCTCCATGAATACTTTTGCAACCAATTATTTGAACGAAAAAACAAGAAAAAAAAACTGCATGTGGCAGCATTTTTTTCTGAGCACGCCAATCAACAGTACTGATAAACTATAATATAAAATAACAACGTTACACAGACAATATATTTGTTTTTTGTTTTTTTTCTGGACAAGGAGGGCTCACGTGGAGCTGCAGTTCCTCCTCGACTCTATAGTAACTCATTGTTTGAAATGTCACCAGTAATAAAACACTTTAAGAATCATTTTCATGAACTTAGTTATTAGTGTGAAGAACAGATTATGTTGAGGGAAAAGAAAACTCTGCCGAATCTCCAAGTAAGGCCAACTAGAACAAATAAATGGATCAAAGTTTGCTTTGTTTTTTATATGGAAGCACTAGAGCATGCTTCAAAGGATCAGAAACAGTTCCGGCTATGAACTTACAGTAAATCAGATAAAATGCATGAAAATATCACATACGCACTGATGTCTGAAGATACAGTAAGAGTGCACATAACACGTAAGATATTCTTAGCAAAGGTTTTTAAGTGATGAAAGGAAGTGAGAACAAGAACTATCTTTTGGACTGTGTCCAACGTTTTCAGTTCCTTTAATAGTGAAAGTTAAATTATTTCATTATTTAAACCCCAAATCCACCAAATGTCCCAAGGAAAAGTATCAGGATGATGCCACCCATTAGCAGTCCAGAGGAAATTCAGGAACCGATCTGCGGGGACCCAGATATATTATTGGTAATAGCACATTTAATGTACGTGTTTGGTGCTTGTCTTAGAATGACATTTTATCAAGTTTTTGAAGAAGTTATCTTTGAATCCTGGAAGAACAGTCACAGTTTTATCTATCTTTGTCAGGATTCAATGAGAAAGAGGCCAGTCACAGGCTAAAATCAAACCCTCTCAAGGATTAGATCAAAACCGAAGCCTCAAATCTACAACAGCACCAACCCGACTTACGCCGATCCAACAAACCCAACCTACAACAGCAACAAGACAGATAAAACTTACCCAACTGATACAACCTACAACAATCCAATAATCAATACAACCAACAGTACAAACATGATCAACAAACTCCATTACACCAAGACAAGAATCTCAACCAACATTAAGAGGACCAGCACAAGCTACAAAGCCAAAACAACTAATAAAACCTACAACACTTGTGCAACCAACCAATACAATCAACGCAACCAGCTCAACCAACCTAACCAACTCCATCCAACACAATCAACCCAACCAGCAGCACTACGATGATCGACACTAACAGGCCTTCAGACAAACTAGGCGACACCAATCAATGCAACAAGCTGAATGTGTTTGTTTCTAAAGTTATCTTACAAATATCAGTTTATGTCCACCAACTTTTGATGTAACATTATTTGACCAGAGTAACCCAAGTAAGGAGAAGTGTTATGACCACACCAGGCTTCAGCCTGCTCATCTTCATCCTCTGCCTCCTACAAATTGACACTCAACCACAGAAATCAGTGAGGAAAATTATTACTCAAGTTCAATTTCTGACCTAATGGCCAAGGTAGGTATTATCTTAGATATAGTTTTTTTTTGTTTGTTTAAAGATTACAACCCAATTCCAATGAAGTTAGGACATTGTGTTAAACATACACTCACCGGCCACTTRACACCTGTCCAACTGCTCGTTAACACTTAATTTCTAATCAGCCAATCACATGGCGGCAACTCAGTGCATTTAGGCATGTAGACATGGTCAAGACAATCTCCTGCAGTTCAAACRGAGCATCAGTATGGGGAAGAAAGGTGATTTGAGTGCCTTTGAACGTGGCATGGTTGTTGGTGCCAGAAGGMCTGGTCTGAGTATTTCAGAAACTGCTGATCTACTGGGATTTTCACGCACAACCATCTCTAGGGTTTACAGAGAATGGTCCGAAAAAGAAAAAAACATCCAGTGAGCGGCAGTCCTGTGAACGGAAATGCCTTGTTGATGCCAGAGYTCAGAGGAGAATGGGCAGACTGGTTCGAGCTGATAGAAAGGTAACAGTGACTCAAATAAACACCCGTTACAACCGAGGTAGGCAGAAGAGCATCTCTGAACACACAGTACGTCGAACTTTGAGGCAGATGGGGTTCAGCAGCAGAAGACCACACCGGGTGCCACTCCTTTCAGCTAAGAACAGGAAACTGAGGCTACAATTTGCACAAGCTCATCGAAATTGGACAAGAGAAGATTGGAAAAACGTTGCCTGGTCTGATGAGTCTCGATTTCTGCTGCYACATTCGGATGGTAGGGTCAGAATTTGGCGTCAACAACATGAAAGCATGGATCCATCCTGCCTTGTATCAACGGTTCAGGCTGGTGGTGGTGGTGTCATGMTGTGGGGAATCTTTTCTTGGCACTCTTTGGGCCCCTTGGTACCAATTGAGCATCGTTGCAACGCCACAGCCTACCTGAGTATTGTTGCTGACCATGTCCATCCCTTTATGACCACAATGTACCCAACATCTGATGGCTACTTTCAGCAGGATAATGTGCCATGTCATAAAGCTGGAATCATCTCAGACTGGTTTCTTGAACATGACAATGAGTTCACTGAACTCAAATGGCCTCCACAGTCACCAGATCTCAATCCAATAGAGCATCTTTGGGATGTGGTGGAARGGGAGATTCGCATCATGGATGTGCAGCCGACAAATCTGCGGCAACTGTGTGATGCCATCATGTCAATWTGGACCAAAATCTCTGAGGAATGCTTCCAGCACCTTGTTGAATCTATGCCACGAAGAATTGAGGCAGTTCTGAAGGAAGGGAAAAGGGGGTCCAACCCATTACTAGCGTGGTGTACCTAATAAAGTGGCCGATGAGTGTAAATAATAACAAAATACATTAATTTTAAAATCCTTTTCAACCTATATTCAATTTCACACTACAAAGACAAGATACTTAATGTTCACATAGATAAACAGAAGCTTCAACATTTAGTGTCCTCAGTTCCCAAAAGCTTATTCCTAAAAGGAAAGACGATGTAACACAGTGGAAAACATGGCCCTGTCCCAGCCTTTTTGGAACATGTTGCAGGCATCAAATTCAAAATAAGTGAATATTTGCAAAAACAAACAAACAAACAAACAAACAAACAAACAAACAAACAAACAAACACACAGACAAACAAACAAAAACAAAAAGGTTTATCGGAACATTAAATATCTTTGTAGTGTATTCAATTGAATTTAGGTTGAAAAGGATTTGCAAACCATGGTATTCTGATTTTATTTGTTTTGCACAAAGTCCCAATTTCATTGGAATTGGGGTTGCAGGTAGTTTGATAATAAAACTGTGATAATGACATATTCATTAAGTCTTCATAATTACGGCATTTTTCCCCTATTTTCCCACCTTCAGCCTCCTGCTACTAGTATTAAAAAGAAACATCTACCTCCTTTTCCTCGTCCTCGACCAGGTTCTACCTCCTCTCTTTAATGTGACAGACAGATACCTGCAGCTGGACAAATATCAGGGTAAAGCTACGTGCATTTTACCACATTTACTAACACAAAGTGGTTACTAGAGTCTCAGTTATTTCACTGAAAAAGAGTCAAAGTAACTTCTCTCTTGAATCCATAAGACCGACTCATCAAACAAGGACAGACCAGCAGCTAATGTCAAACGTTCTCCAGCATGGATCCAGTTTTATATGTTATTGAACCACAACATCTTGATGAAAGGGTTTTTAATTTTCAGAACCCGAACAGGACAAGCAGACCTGCAGTTCCACCTTGGACCTATCACAGAACTTCTATGGTTGACGTGTCATACACTCAGGTAGGACTCTCACTGCAGGGCTGATCTCTAACAAGAAACCAAACCGAATGTGCTGCGATAACACTATATGTAATAATTTAATTTTATCAAGAAATGATGATGCATTGTCAGTGCAACTGATAATAAAAATACTTCCTTTTTTATTACAGAGRGTACCATCAACACCCTCAGTCAACCAACATGACCTTCCTTATGCTGACTCCAGGAGTACGTATACAACTACAGAAAAATGTCTTGATGCATTACATGGTAACAAACTACACACTGTACGCACAGGCGTGAGCACTAAAATAACAATCATCARATCGTTTATTTAAAACATTTTAGGGAAAGTCAAGGCTTTGTCCTGAACAAGACCACAAGGACACATTCGATATATCAACTGTCCTCAGAGGTAAGGACTTTTAAACACTAACTTGTGTTTTTAAATTCACCTTCTGAATTAACTGAAAAATCTATTGTTTTTTATTTGATGTTCTCTRTTTTTTTTGTTAAAATATAATCTGTTTTCCTCCAGGACATCACGGAGCTGAAACAGTGGTTGAAAAGAGTGTGCAGTAAGTACAGAGACACAACAAACTGAGGCAACAATGACGTCGCTTGTTTACATCCGTAATACATAAAACTATACAAAAATATATTGTTACATAGAGTGTTCTAATGTGGATCGGATGGAAAATAAAACTACTTTCACAAAACAACCTTTTGAAACAGGTGTGAGTTAAACATATCATGCTTTTACATCCTTTTTCACATTTAAATCACTCAGTTGGGGTCTATATAAAGTGCAACTGTAATGCTTTGGTCTAAATTCCTCCTTCTTGTAACTCCACAAGCCCCTCCTCCACCTCTGTTCTGAGGTATGAGAGCAACTCATTTTGGTCTCACTCCCAGTGATCATTGTTCATAGTTAGAAAGCAGAGATACACTTATCTAGAGGTGCAAAACCTTTTTATTTACAAATTGATTAAAAAAATGTCAACAACAAAAGATGTGTTCATCCAMCCTTACATATTGGAGCCAGAGTCTGACCCAGAGGAGAATGAAGGCAACAAACCTGTAGAACCGCACTCGCAAAATTAGACAGCTGGAAGTCTATGACATTGTTTAGCAGTAAATACTGCGACGTTATTGTTCAAAATACTTAATAAGGAATAGATGAATCTGAACAGATTGGAAAATATGACAGACAGAAAATCAACATATCTACGCAGCACTGGYAAAAACTAAATTCAAATTTTCTGCACTCCTAAAGACTCCAAATACACACAAAAATGTTTTTAAGGGCTAAAAAAGTGGATTTTGCATGATACGTCCCCTTTAATAAGGGGTCATGGCATCATTGGGGTTTTAAAGTCAACTAGCTATTGTTGTGCTTCTAACAAATTAATGACACAACTCCAGTGACTGATACAAGCATGAATGATCTTGTAGATGTGTGTTAGCATGTAGCTCTCCCTGTTAACGCTACTGCACACCTCCTTTGGTTTCAAGATGCTGACTTAATTTATGACTATCCTAATCCATCCTTCTGTGGTAATTTTAGATGACTCTTATGTCCTGGCTCCAGCTCAGTACGGCATCTGCATAGAAGAAGAAATCAGGTAATGAAATCTATATCACATACCTGTCTTAGCAAATTGGTAATGTCCTTTTGGTAGCTTTGTTTTATGTTGTTAGTGGAACAAAATACGGTGGTTAGGATTTGATGTTGTCTCTTTGTTCTTGTGCAGGTCATTTAATCAGCGAGCCATGCACGTGAGAAAGGCCCAGCGTCTTCACAACCTCCTCATGATGAAAGGCAAAGAAGGCCTGCAGAGCGGCATCAAAGAGTTTAGATCCATATGTGACAAACTGGACAGAGTAGACTAACAAAACCATGGGGATTGCCGGGGACACCACAGGGGCAGTGGGAGGAGTGGCCGCAGTGGTCGGCATTGCCTTGGCTCCCGTGACCATGGGCACCTGGCTGATCGCCACAGCCATTGGCGCTGGTTTCGCTGCATCCGCTGGAGGTTTTGGCGCTCACGTTGCTAAAGTCAACAAGAAGATTGTGAACTAGCAAACAATGGAGAAGCTGGTGAATAAGTCAGACGCTTGTGATCTCAAATGTTGTCTGCATTTCGTACTCTGCGCCATGAACGAGCTGCAAAGGCACAACGTCGACAGGCTGCAGAGGGCAGGAGCTCGTCCTGAAGCTCTGAGGATTGCAGAGTTGTCCCAGGTTGTGTTCAGYAACCACGTGGACAACGATAGAGAGATGTCTCTTACCCATGCAGGTGGGGTGACATGTGGATGCCTGCCTAAAGCTTTCACCAGTGAATTTGATCAGTATTTCACACAGAAGAATGGCATTTTGGCAGAAGCTGAAGAAGTCGAACAAGAGCAGATTTTCAAGTAGAGTGTCTACTCTGATCAAAAATCTGCAAGAGAAACTAGATTATTTGAATCAAATGTGGGAAATTTTAAGCTGAATAAAGAATTAGTTTTGTTTAAGTCTGTGTGTGGGTTGTGGACATGTTTTTCCTACATCGTTGGGACCATTTTCCAGAAAAAGCTGCCTCGTGAGGACCAAACATACATCTGAATGCAAATTGCAGGTGGTGGGGTCAGGTTTAAAATCAAGGTGTGAAATGAGTTTAGGTTAGTTTTAGAGTCAGGTAGGTGTGAGGTTAATATTAGAGTAAATAGTCAGGGTTAGGCTATAAAATTTCCAAAATATGAATGGAAGTCAATCCACGGTTCCCACGGAGATATAAAAATCAGATGTGTGTGTGTGAAAGGGGGAAAACCTTCAGCAATGACCTCAGAGAAGCACCTGTTGCTGCCCATCGATCTGGGAAGGATTAATGGTCATTTCCATAGTTTTTGTGTCCATTATTGTCAAATGAGACAATCAGAAGTGGAGAGTTTTAATAAAATGTATCCACTTGTTTATGAAATATTTGRTAACCGACATATAAACACACAGGAAACATGATGTGCACTTTTTCATGGGGCATCAGTAAAGCTGAATGTTTGAGGCAGGTTGGATGCTGTCTGTGGAGTACATTAATGCAGTGTGACGGGTTGTAACTTTATTATCACCCACTGTGTGTGTTTATGTTTGWATTTCTGTTAGCAAAATATCTCATGACCAACTGAAAGAAAGGMTCAGAAATTATTAATCAGATATGAATCTGTAACTGATGTGAAATGTGAACGAGTCATTGTCACATTAAGAATCTAAATATTTATTATATTCTTCTTTTGGCTGTTTCTTTTCCACTTTCACCTTGAAGCTGTCTGCCACCTCATGTCCTGCTGTCCTATTTCTTCTCCCTCCAAAGAGGCAAAAAAAAAAGTGTGTGTGTGGTGGAGCCAATCGTAGTCCCACAGTCTTGGTGAGAGGCGTAGTGATATTGCAGCACAGCGGAAGGATATTACCCTCTCTTTCCGCTCCGGTTCTTTATCACCGCCTATCCTTACCGCTCCGCCATTTTCTCCTCTGAGGAAGAACAACAAGATACATCGTAGTTGGACATAGCTCGTATTTGCCGAAATGGCAGTGTGAACGTGTGCCGCGACCCAGCAGCAGCCAACAAAACAGTGCATCCAGCCAGTGCACTGAGTCACTTCTACATCAACAAAATGTCGTAAGTACAATTTTGATCATTTTACTCACCGACGACGGGCTCTTCCGGTTACAGAGGCCGGCCTGTCGAGTGACTGTAGCTGTGTTAAAATCTCCAAATATGTGGTCAATAGTATTACCACATTAGCATAAATGTTTCGAATAATACTATTGAAGTCGTTTTAAAGAATTTTTTGACTTTTTTTAAAAATAAATAATCAGTCCTTAGAGTAACAAATGTTTGTTTAATAGTTTTTGGCTCGATAGTTCTGCCACATTTCTTGTTAATTTCTACACCTTCTTAGTTGAGTTTATTTTCCAAGTGGCTGTCAAGTGCCAACGTGGCAAGGAAATGTTTCTTTGTGTCAAAATGGCGGCTTTCTGTGGGTGGATGTAGAAGAAAACAGTAGCAGCAGCATGGCAGTGAAGGATGACCCTGTTAAAGCGGACTCACGTCAGAGTCACAGGACCAGTTCTAGACAGAAACACGTGATGTAAGCAGAGTGTAGTCCAGCCACCAGGGGGCAGTGTTGTKAATGAGACAATTTGAACTTACACTTGTATACGTTTGAAGGTCTTTAAAAGTACACGTGCATATTAGCATTTATTTTACAATGTTTTCACCAACAATGTTTTTTTTTTTGTTGTTGTTTCAGGTCCTACATAAAATCCTTCAGCACTGCTGCATTTGACAGCATAGACGAGTTCGTTGCTCCCCAAGAATTGTCTCACGCCCCGTTTGTGACCAACAACAGCCACTATGACCATGATGATGACAAGCTCACAGTTTGGCCTGGAAGACATGGAGGCCCTTCTCTGGCCTTCCTCTCTCATGGCTGACGCCATGGACTCCCCGTTTGCTCACCCCGATGAAGGTGTACAGCAGAAAGGAGGCGAAAGCTCAACGCGGGGGCCCACTTCTCCCGCCTCACCCCTCGCCTCCTCGTCGCCGTCTTTGTCCGCGTCTCCTCCTCCTTTCTACTCTCCTCCTCCCTCGCCGCTGGCTGTTCCCTCTCAAGGGGACAAAACTGGGACTGAATCTGACCTTCTTTCCTCTTGGTTGGACCACCCACATCTGCTGAGGTGCAGCCAGGCCCCGATGGGTGACAGCAAAGGTAGTGACTGTGTTTTAGCAACATTAGTTTGTCTAGTTAAATCATTAAAGCTTGATCGTCCTGTTTTTTTTTCTGTCTTTCAGATGATGTTTTTGGTGATTTTGATTGGATGGGTGAGAATGTGGATCTGAGCGACTTTGATCTAGACTCTCTGATTGGCTYCAGTCCTGCTGAAGAGGCCCCCAGCTCTCCAGAAGACCTCCTTGATTCCCTGGATTGTTCCATGGAGCTGGACTCCTTCCAGCTGCCGCCATTCCCAGCTCCTGCTCTCTCGAGCTCTTCCTCTGCTCCCTCTCTGAATGTTTCCCCTCCATCCCTCCCCCCTGCCTCTTCAGATCCCTCTGCTGTTACAGTAGACGAGCCTGAATTTRATATTGGTGGGCAAGAAGTTCCCTCCTCTCCACTCTGTGTCCCAGATGCACAGGAGGAGCTTGAGATCAAATCAGAACCTGCTTCTCCTGATCCCCCTCCTGCAGTCATTGATTCTCCCTCCTCCCCAGCCTTCACTCTGGATCTAGGCAGCGAGGTGGATATCTCTGAGTGTGAGGTGAAGCCTGTAGTAGCCTCTGTGGTCCCTCAGGTCCCAAGGATCGTCCTCTCCCTTTCCCCAACCCGCATTGTCCTTGTGCTGGCTCCAAAGCTCGAAGCCACCAGCATACCTGGGGTGATTCAATGTTCCCCGCCAACCTACACGGCGCAGAAGTCCACCAGAAGCAGACCGTACCCTGAGCCGAAACAAAAACCCGGTCCATCTTCTCCTGCGGCCGCCGTCAATGAAGTCCAGTCCCTTCGAGCTGCAGGTGGAGCCGAGAGGGCGGCTTTAAAAGCCCCCAAAGACAAGAAACAAAAGAAGATGGAGCAAAATAAGACGGCTGCCACGCGCTACAGGCAGAAGAAGAAAGTCGAGCAGGATACGCTCCTCGAGGAGTACGCACGGCTGGAGAGGAAGAACGTGGAGCTGACGGAGAAGGCGGAGTCTATGGCCAGGGAGATCGAGTACCTTAAAGAGCTGATGGAGGAAGTCCGCCAGACCAAGCTCAAAAAAGGTCTCAGTGCTGACCCCTAATGGTCAGGGAAGCTGATGGTGTGTGTGTGTGTCAGGAAGTGTGATTTTATTTCTTAAATGTGTCAGTACAGCATGTTTTAAAACTACAGTCTAACTCTACATGTATCTAACACTGGTATTAAACTTTGTTGTGTATTAATAGTTGCATCCAAATGAGTATTTTTCCATTCATAGTATGTAACCTGATGACATGTTATTTAAATCTTAAACGTTTTTAAAGCTTGTGTGTAATCTAGTCTCAATAGAARGAGTCTAATAAAGGGTCCTAAACTTAAATTTGTGTGGTTTCTTGCTGCTGGAACTGGTAAACAGTAAATATTTAAACATTGTCTTCATTGGCATGTTTTTTATAAATGCCTTTTTAAGAATTGATATTTTAAATTCACATAATTTACTTACCTGAGCTGGTTGCAATAAACTTTACAGTAAATTCAAACAAATACAGTTGGAAGTGAGTCTAAAGATGGTTCAGAAGAATTCACTACAATTTTCTTATCCTGGTTCGCTCTTGACATCTTGATAGTACATATTCATGCTGGATTGTACGGCAGACTGCTGCTGACCTCTGCACACTATCTGAGCAACATTACCCACAGAAATGCTTACATTCATCTTACAACRGGAGCCTCAGTGGGCTCGCTGTAATTGGCCTGGGCTTCTGTCCAGGAAGCTTAGAAGGCGATCTATAGTTCAGTGGAGGGAGGCCAAAACTAAAATGGTGCATAGGAAATAAGCAAATCATTTTCTCCAGAGCAAGAAAAAAACTTGGTCATGAGGATGCTGCCTGTGTAAGTGGCCTCATTGTAAAATGGTATGAAAAACCCGAAATGACTAAAGGTGAAAGGAATGTCCCACTTCTATTAAATACACTATTCTATATAATTACCCTTTGTTGTATTTAGCCTGCTGCCATCTGGTGGCACCATTTGACCACCTACTCCCATTTAAATACAGTATTTAGGGGTGCCAATGCTTAGTAGTCACTATTTAACTTTCACTGCAGCTTTGGTCAAATCTACACTCTATACAAAAATACATCAACGTGTGCAGCTTGAAGTGCTCTGAGTTGTAGCAGTACATCGTAAAACATCAAAGAAATTAAAAAAATACTGCAAAACATTTCCATGTATATTTTTTTCAGTTAGTTTATTCATTTCTTCAAAAACAAGAACAAATTCAACATACAACAAAAATACAAATCATAAATTAAATGAAAGGTAACAGAAGAAGATAAAATCTTATTTCTGACATCATTAGCTCAGATTTACCTCACAGTAAAGAACATTCAGAATGTTGGACATTTTCCCACATCATACGTTCCACCGTCTGGTGCGCTCCTTGCTCTTCATGATGTTTAAATCTTGTAAAAGCTAAACAGGTGTGAATACTTTCTCGAGGCTCTGTAAACTCCACATTCTTTTTAGGCCCAATAGAAGAAAGTTCATGTTCGTGAACAGTGGCAGAGCCAATTTATACAGTGGTGGCCAGACTGGGACCATTTTTGTTCCTACATGACAATTTTCTGAAGATCTAATTGTGTTTATTGGTCGTTCTCTCCTTTACTAACACAGACAGTGATCATGTAGAAGTACATCATGAGAATTGTATATTTGAGCATCCATCCATCCATCCATCCATCCATCCATCCATCCATCCATCCATCCATCCATCCATCCATCCATCCATCCATCCATCCATCCATCCATCCATCCATNTCCATCCATCCATCCATCCATCCATCCATCCATCCATCCATCCATCCATCCATCCATCCATCCATCCATCCATCCATCCATCCATCCATCCAGTTTTACCTGCTTCTTCCTTTACAGGTTGCGGGGGTCACTGGTGCCCATGTCCAACAGTCACTGTGAGAGGGGTGGGGTACACCCTGGACAGGTCCATCACAGGGACACATGAAGCTATGTCCAAAACACAGGTCTTGATGCTCAATTTTGATTTTTTGCTCAAATCCGTTTTTTTTTTTTTTTTGCTTTGACATTCACGTTAAACTTTTGATGCAACCTCCATCAGACTCCAGTGTAAACTCTCCACAGAAGCAAAATCAACTACAGTATCCATCCAGCAACTTCACTATCAATACAGACTGACAATGATGGTGTCACATATTTATGTGGATTTTCAGTCATGCAGGACATGGAAAATAAATCTAAAAAAACAAAGCAACTAGACATTCAGCTGTAGCGAGGTTGGTAACAATATTATCAATACTTGAATCGATCGGCTCACCCACCCCTCACTGATGTAAAAGTTGGACAAAATGCGACACAAGCGTACAGATCGCAGTGAAAAACATTAGATATGTATCAATAGCCTATGCCACYGTCATTAATGACGTATTTCCGGTAAAATCCTTGCCACGCTCCTCACTTCCACTCCCTGCTTACTGCCTATGTTTTAGCGTTAGCTGCTAGTACTAGTCTGTGAAAAAGTCACAAAAGTTAAAGCATCTGTGATCTACTGGTYTAAAACGTGAGTTCTGTTGTGTGCCGTTGTGTCCACTAAGCAGCAGGTACGATCGAGTAGTTAGTTTTTCTCCTTTTTCCTCTTGATGAGGAGGTGACAGCTGTGGATCATAGCATTACAGGGAAAACTTATCTATAAAAGCTCATGCTTGCGTTTGTAATCGGCATTTCTAACCTGAGGATATTCAAGAGACAGCATCAGAAATGAGAAGACGGAGGTTACAAAAGGGAAATGTACATTTATCCCCTTTTACTGCCAAGACAAGAGAGGAAAGACCWCCTCCACACSACAGCTAGCAGGAAGCTAAAACAGCAGCCGGTACAAAGGTAAGTGTATGTGCGTGCATGCGTTTGTGTTATATGAAATGTTTTTATGCGACTTTGTCATGAGTTTTATGTAAAAGTAAAACCTTGTTAGAGTGTATTTAACAGCGTAAAGCCGAGTGACGAGGCCCCCCAGAGCAGCAGAACCTCCGCCTGATAATCATTACATTTTCAGTTCACTAACGTTGGGGAAAACGATCCAAACCATACAAGTAGCCCATCGATTTAAAGCCCAGACTCTGCTCTTTCCAACAATATAAGTGTCACAGCTCTATGTGAAAAATTCACTGAACAAGCAGCCATGGAATAGTGAAAAAGACCAAATTCTGGAACCATAAACATTAACGTCTTTCCTTTATTTTTATGGCTTTAATCCACTTTGGAGTGATTTTTTTCCACTTGGCTGGACCTGTACGTCTCCTGTGTTAATGTTGGTACATGTAATATGCTAATTCTGTACTGTGGAGATCATTAAGAGTTGTTGTCGGGTGAAAAAATCTTTCGCTAACACTGCGTTGACCGTGAACCGGAAGTTTTGGGAGTGGCATCAAGTGCTGGACTGGATGTCCGTGGCATATAGGCTATTTAGTACCACATAATGAAAAGGCCAGGGTCAAATTTGAAAGAAATCTGATATGGTCACATTGAAGAAAAAACACACAGATTTGGGTCACTTTTGCCTGCAGTATAAACCTAGTCTTAGAGACAAATGAGACAAACCGTTCACTCTCTCACTCTCACCCAGGGACAATTTAGTATTCTCAATTAGCCTAACAGTCATGTTTTTGGTCTGTGGGAGGAAACCAGAGTACTTGGAGAAAACCCACACATGCAATGCATTGAACATGCGATCTTTACCCAGAAAGGTCCTCGGCCAGGATTTGACCCAGCAGCTTTCTTGCTGAGAGGGAACTGAGCCGCTGTGTCGCCTGTTAGAGAAGTGCTTTGGCAAAATGCTGGCAAGGAGATGGTTGGGGTGGCCACCCCTGGCTCCACCTCTGAAGTTAATTCAATGTTGAATTATAATCAAAAAGTTGATTTTTGGTTAAGGTTGATGATTGATGGTGAATCAACCATCAAACAATCATCCAGTTCTAACTATTAACCAATGCTGAAAAGATGTTATTGAATCGTTTCATTGTGGAATTCTAATAATTGAAATGCTAACATCGAATCAATGTTGACTCATTGTATGCTGTGTGTCGCACCCCTCCTCCTCCTCTCCTCTCTAGGAAGAGAAGGGAGAGGAGGAAAAGAGGTTGAATCAACATTGATAACGAATCAGTTATGGCTGAAAACCCAACATTGTTTCAGCATGCAAGTCACCGACCACTTTCTGTATAATTTCAACATTGATGAACGTTGAACCACATTTCAACGTTGATTCACTCATATTTTGCTACTGCACACAAAGTCAAGACTACTCCAACAAATATTTTTGCATCTTTTATTGAATGACCAAAGTACAGATCACCAAACAAGATTTACCACACTGTCGGTAACGTCACTTTGGCTACGGTACAGTGGCAGAATATACACAGTGCAAAAACGCTACGCTAAGAGCTTACAGTTGAACATAATATGTACAGTGTAATTATACATGGCGTATACAACATATTCACAACTGGAGCGAGACTCTCTAAGACTCGAAATGAAACATCTCGGTAATAAATTCTGAAGTCATGCTTGGCACACGGAGAGCTGCGGAAGCCTACGTCACAAGAAAAAGCACTGAGTCAGGAAAACACAAAAGGAGCTGTGGCAAGAGTCTTTTTTTTGTCTTTTTGATACATCATAAAGAGAAAATGAAACTTTGCGGCCTGGCAGTGGTATCCATCACTAGTTATTTAGCTGTTCCATTCTGTGAATTTCCTTCTGCTCTTTCCCTTTTATTTATTTTTTTTATTAGATGTAACTAGAAGTTCACAGATGTTTTGTTTTCAAAGAGTCAGAGGAATAAAAAGTGAGGTTGCCTTCAACTCTTTAGGCACTGGTTTATTTGCATGCGGTGTTCTAACATGCCTCTGACAGCTGGATATACAATAACATATTAAATCTTTTTTTTTGTTTGTTTTTATTTTTGTAAACATGGCCACTGATGTCAGGAGCTTGCAGATGTAGAAAAGGGTTAGCAGGTAGTAAAAGCCCCGACGTGAGCTTGAATGGTTCATGAGGTTATTTTGTTTCTGTAGCATGAGAAAGCTCGATGTAGCGCTGAAGATACAGCTCCTGCTGCTGCAGGGCTTTAGTCCCACTTTCACGCTTTGATGCTGAGGCACGTTAAATGGATCTACCTTGTCGATATTTGTGCTGGATGCATGGCCGACCCGAGCTGCTCCGCGGGGATCTGACGCTGCACCCTTCCGATGCAGCCTTCTTTGAATTCTTGCTCTTCGTAGAGGATAAAGGCTTGAGGTGTGGTGTTAGAAAATATTTACCGCTTTAGTTTTAGAACAAAAGAACCCAAAGGAACTTCACATTCTGGGAACGTCCCACAACCTAAAGATAAACGGTCACAAAAAGACTCCGATCTGATTTAATTTATGAATCCCGTCATGCTGTTCGGCAAACGGCATCAATCAGAGTTCTTGTAAAGGTGCCAGAATTTTTTTTTCCCCCGGAAGGGATCAGTTCAACCCTGAGCAGACTCTAATCAATGTTTAATGATGAACATTTGAATAACCTGAAGATGAAAGATGAATGAGTAGCAGCAGGTCTCATATCTGGGCTACATTTATATTTGCGGCCTACACAAACTAAAAGCTATGTACACATTTTTGCTCTGAGGATTTCAGGGCAAGTTATTTTTATCCACTTTTTTTTTTTGTCGATCGTTTTTAAAATTAGTTTTAGCTTTCGCTTCAGCTAGTGATTCAAAATGAGCAACAATGAGCAGAGGTGGCACCAGAAGATCATCCTATAGTTCTTATCTTTCAGGGGGTCAGGTCAGGTGACTCGGTGCAGCATGTTCCTACATTTGGATTCAGTTTTGGAAAACAGAGCATATCAGTGCAGCCTGAACATGGACACAGTCTCTTGAACAGTGTGAGATCTTGTCTTTTGTAGCAGAATATTACTCCCCCTCTTTGGTTTGAAGGGCTTGTCTACAGTGTTATCTGGATATGAGTTTTTATCTACTGTCCGTTATGGTTGAGTAAACAGTGGGTATGGTCTTTATTTTGAACGAAGAGCTACTTATTTTAAGACTATTGCTCCTAACTGTTCCCTGAAACTTTTCAGAAGGTTACATAGATGAGGTTAAAGTTACATGAGGTGATATTTGGGCCTACTGAAGGCTCAGAATAAAAACTTCTCCGTGAAGGCCCTCGTGTCACTGCAGCTGGCATCCCCGACAGTCGTCCTCCGGTTCGGTGTTGTCAGAGGAGTAGGAGCTCTCTTCGCTCACTGTGAAATGAAACACAATTATTTTAGTGTTAACCACCCCCGACTAACATAAACTTGAGTCTTGCAGGTATTGTCAGATGTACAACGCCAATTTCAAATAATCTAAGTAGCCGAAGAATTCATTAAGGTAATGTCAGAGTTTTACACAAAGATTGTCTTAAAGGGATCCCTGATTAGTTGTAACATTAGACTTTATTTGATAAACATTTATTTTAACTGTAAAATAAAGACTAAAAAAATACTGTAGGCTGTTTAGTTTTGTAATTTTTTTAAAATATATTTTAACATGGACAGGGCCATTTTATTTGCACGTAAAGCATTCTGGGTAAATGATGACGTAGATAGGTCCTCGGTGTTAGCGAGTTATATCCACCCTGAAGGTTAATCTTGGACAATATCTGAAGATCGACTCTTTTAAATGAAACCAGAGAGCGTTGACAGAGAGGAGAAGGTAGAAATGACTCAGCCTGGAACTGAAAATATGGATGGAGGACAACAGAGCTGCTTCATGGAAGAAGAACCTCAGCTTAGCCTGTTAGCCTGTTAGCCTTTGCGCTAGTGCCGACGCTATATTGCCTTATATGTATTAGCTCGGTGCTAGTGTGACAAACAAGCTAAACTGAGGTCCTCCATCCATATTTTCAGTTGCAGGCTGAGTCATTTTTGTGTTTCCCTCTCTGTCATGTGGATGGAGGACCTCAGTGATGAGAGGAGAATGTGTAGCGCTGAGCTAATACATATATATGGTGATAGCTTCGGGGCTAATGCTAAAGCTATTAGGCTAAGTTGAGGTTCTTCTTCTATGAAGCAGCTCTGTTGTCCTCCATCCATATTTTCAGTTKCAGGCTGAGTCATTTCTACCTTCTCCTCTCTGTCAACGCTCTCTGGTTTCATTTAAAAGAGTCGATCGTCAGATATTGTTCAAGATTAACCTTCAGGGTGGATATAGCTCACTAGCAGCCTCGCACCGAGGACCTATCCACGTAGAACGCTTTGCGAGTAAATAAAATGGACTCGTCCGTGTGATATATTTTTAATCTTTTAGTTTAAGAATTATAAAAACTAGCCTACAGTATTTTTTCAGTCTTTATTTTACAGTTAAAATATATGTTTATCAAATAAAGTCTAATGTTACAACTAATCAGGGATCCCTTTAAAAGTCAAAGTGAAAACCTTGAAAATAATCTTATAAACAATCGAGCTGCCCTGCTGCTAAGAGTATGTGTTGTGAGTGACTTTCAACCACTACCACACCAAAGTTTTGCTCATCTCCATCTGCTACTGCTTATCTGTAGTCGGGTCGCAGAGGCAACAAGTCCAGGTGAGAAATCGGAACACTCCTCTCCTCATGCTGGGGTCCCGAGGCCAGAGAGGATACATAATACCTCCAGCAAGTCCAAGGTCTTCCTACCAGTGGGATGTGCCCAGAACACCTCTAATGGGAGGAGTCATAACCAGATGAACTACCTCAACTGATTATTTTTGATGCGGAGGAGCAGCGGCTCTGCACTGAGCACCCACCCCCCCAGATGATGGTGCTCCTCAACCCATCTCTAAGACTAAGCCCGATCACCCAGTAGGAAGCTCATTTCGGCTGGATGTATCTTGTTCTTTTGATCGTGAGCCACGCCTCGTGACTACAGGTTGGACTGTAGAGAGAGCAGTAAATTGAAATCTTTGCCTTTTGACTCAGCTCTTTCTTTACTACGACTGACTGAAGCAACACCCTTATTACTGAGGACGAGGCCCCAATCCGTTGATCCATCTTCCCCTCCATCCTACCATCAATCATGAACAAGACACCCAGATACTTAAACTCCTCCAAATTTAAAAATTTGCTTTGTTAAATTGAATTCTAGTCATTTTTGTATCTTATAAGCTCAGGTAAACTTGAACTGGGGTGGTTCCAGACATTTGTAAGTTGTAGATAAAGTTATTACTTCCTGAATGTTCCATGGTTCATAGGATATTTGGGTAACAGACATATGAACAAACAGACATGGGCAAACACGTTATTGTCCACCTGTGCCTGTTGCAAAAGATAAATTAGTATCTGATGTGATGCAGTGAAGTAACAAAGACCTCATTAGTGCTCATAGTATATGTTGGGAGTGACTCCCAGATACTAAAACAGCTAATTTTAGCTCGATATCTGTAAAATTAGCTCTGGTAAAAGATGATTTAGAATTAGCTTGACACTAAAAGTGAATCAGTTGCATGTGTATATTCAATAATCACTCTGAAAGTTTTATTAAAACCTGTTCAGTGGTTCATGAGATATTTGGACAAAACAACAAACATCTAGACATGATCCATTGTTATAGTGACATGAGATAATGATGTAACCCTCAGGCTAAAGATGAGGACCCTCATTTAAATCAATACACAGTTTAAAAGCCAGGACTAACCTCAAACAACCTGCCTTTTCACGCAGGCATCATTAAAGGGGCAGGTCAGATCTGTTGAAATGAAGTTCAGTGTTTCTCTTGTGTTTCTCTGGTTTCAGTTTGGAGAAACCGAGTTTATTTTGGACTAGCTTGACGAGCTAACATCTAGTCAGGGTGAGGCCTGGACCAAAGTGGGTCATTTCTGTCTCAACACACTCCAGTCTAAACATTTTCAAAGCAGTTCACACAAATTCCTTGTTGAAGACCCCCAACACCAGTTTTACATTACAGTGTTGATCCAGAGGTGCCCCAGGCTGCACCAGAGGTGCTACCGATAGCTGCTACTGCTAATTGCTATTAACAGTAATCATAAAATGTTATGTAAATAACCATGTAATGTGAAACTGACAGAAAGACAAAGCTTTACAAAATAACATTCACATAAACAGATCTAATATGTTTGAGATTGGAGCTGTTTTAGATGGCAGCAATCTACTTTTGTTGCTATGACTGGCCATGAGCTCATCAGTCAGGTCATCACTAAGGCTTTTATGTACATGCAAAACATAACATTATTCTTCAAAACTGAGGCTAGTCAAAAAACTATCTGCAGCAGGTAAGATATTTTTTGTTGATAAACTTTTCAACAACTTCTACTTTAAAAGAGCGGAACTATCTCTTTAATGAAGAATGATGAATGCAAGGTCTGGAGCAACAAACACTGACAGCATCTTTTTAAAGGAAGATTTTGCTGATTTCAGCAAGACATTGCCTAAGCATATTTTTCCTGAGCTCTGAAAGGATTTCAGAGCGTCAGCTGTAAACTGTTCAGGAATAAGTGGCAAACGTCAGCCTGCCTCAACATTTCTGAAATGCACAACTTGCATTAAGTTCAATATGAACATGTATTTATATATGTATATACAGTATATATATATATATGTCTTCTTCTGTTTTTGCTTTTTCATCACACAAATCAGTGGACAAATTTTTATATCAGACAAAGATAAACGGAGTAAATATAAGATGTAGTTTTAAAAAGGGTGATTTAAAAAAATTAATAAATAAAATAAAAATTGTTCCCTACACTCAAAAAATGGTTGTGTTATCCTTGGCAATAAAAACTACAATCAGGTGTTTGTCATAACTGGTGATGAGTCTCTCAGCTTCAGTAAAGGCTCTGAACTGATGGACAGATATCCTCCTTCAGGATTTCCTGGTAGAGAGCAGATGTTTTTATGGTTTTATCAGTTAAAAAAATGTTGTGAAAATCCCAAAGCAGCGAATCAGCCCCAGACCATCACACTACCACCGCCATGCTTGACTGTAGGTATGATTGTTTTGTTTTTTTCTAAAATGTTGTTAGTGTTAGGCCAGATATAATAAAGCTCATTTTTGCCCTTTACTCTTTCTTATTATTGAATCCTGACCTATGACCAGTGAGTGAGACCTGAATCTAATTTAGTGATTTATCGATTCTACAAGTCTGTTAGGATTCGAGACTTAGTCAAACTGTTCTCAGCTTTCTAGGACATGTGGTAATAACCAGTTAAATAACCAATAAACTAAATAGTTTAAAAACTGTCTTTTGTGTTTTGTCTGATATTTACATTTGTTTCATGGTTCAAAATGTCAACTGTAACAAAAAACTAAAACAGAAGAAATCTTTTTTTTCCCCACAAATCACAACTTAATTGAAAAAAACAAACAAACAAACAAAAAAACAAGTTAGTTTTCTCCTATCTGATTTGAAAAGTATGCAACAACACAAGATAAAATCTAAATAGAGTGTCTGACTTACACCACTCGTCCTGGATGGGGAGGAAGGCCCTGTCGCCGTTCTCTCTGATCATCTCTTCGATCTTATCCAGCAGAAGCGACACACTCCGGTCTTTCCCAGGGGTCTTACTGTCCAGAACGTGGTAATAGTTCCCACAGTACTCCAGCAGTCTCTGCAGCTCCCGCCCCCCTCTCAGGATGTGCTCTTCGATGGGGGTGCGGCCCAGCCAGTCACCACAGCTGAACAGTACCATGGTGTGGAGGCAGGCGCTGTCGCCAAACAGAGTCTCTATGTGAGCCAGGAGCGTTCTCCTCTTCCTGGCCGTGAGCGACGAGACCACGGGCAGGACCAGCAGCAGGGTGTGGGGTCCTGGCCGCAGCAGGGCGGCCCCTCGTTGCGTCTCCTGTCGGATCCGCTTCGGGGTCCGCCTTACTGAGAACCAGTCCCAGCCCGGGGTGTCCACAATGGTGACGCGACGGCCGCAGACGAGCGCCTGCCTCCTGAGGCACAGCTCCGTCTCTTGACCCGACTCGAAAAACCGCCGGCCCAGGATGGCGTTCCCTACCGAGCTCTTCCCAACACCCTTCCAGCCCAGCAGCAGCAGCCTCAACTCTGCACAACCAGGAGACAAACACAAACATGAGAGAGGTGATGAACAGGGTAAAAGTAACTAACTCAAATACATGCGCTTTGGTTTTTCCCTATCAAAATAAAATGAGAAAAAACAAATAATTGTGTGTTTGTTTTTTTATAATGTAAAAATATAAAATCAAACTAATTAAAAATCCAATGTTTGATTTATGCTTCAGTTATTTAAATCCAAAATAAAACGTGATAGTTTTAGTATGTACTGATACCAGAAAATAAGAGTTTATTGTGTCTTATGAGCAGACTGCTTAAAAACATTCCTAAAGATATTGGCTGCACTAGAAGCCTATTCTACATAACTTGGAATATTAAAGCAATTTTTGCTTTAATATTCATGGTAAGATCATCAGAAGTCAATGAGATGCGTTGACTCTGTAAGACAAACATATCCAGGGTGAGAAGTGAAAACGTAGTTCTCCAGGAGATCAGGCCATGATTTCTGGTTCCACCAGAAGATTCTAAATGGTGCACTAACAAGCTTGTCTTTGCTTTAAGCTTTAAATTAAAATAAATAAAAACACTTTTTTTTTGTAACTGTCGTTTTTCTTATTTAGTCTTAAAACCCTAAAAATACAGTTTTTTCCCCTCATTTTATTTTGAAACGTAAAAACCAAAGAACGAATCACGCACGTATTCTCTAGCTTCTCTTGTACAATTTTTTTGGTTTCCAGCAAACAGCTTTTGCAGCAGATGCACATTTGACTCCCTCCTTTACTGCATGACTCACTCTTTTACACACTCTAATACACACAAACACATGTGGAAACAGCCTCACACCTCTAGGCGGCCCTCCGATCATCTGCTCCCTCTGCCTGGCATGCTCCTCCATCCTCATCCTCTCTTCCTCCAGAGCTCTCCTGGCCTGCTCCTCCTCCAGCAAAATCAATTCATTCACCTCAAAGTACCAGCCTGCGTGAAGGCAGAGATAAATTATTCACTTGACCCTTTTAGGTTGGCTCTGTAARGCAAATAGTGCTCTAATTAATAATGCAGTCATCGTTGAAGCCACAGAAGTGCTGTAAACACAGTGTGGTTATTTGTGACGGAGCAGAAAAATAACAAAACATGACGACACGTCTGTTCCATAATGAGAAAGCCTCACGAACCCTGGTTGTCCGTGATCATTTCCTCCACCTTCTCCATCAGTTCGGGTACTTGAGTGTTTTCTTCTGTGTCTTTTCGAGTGTTATCAAAGGCGTGATACCTGCAAGAAAAGAGCCACGCTGATAAAAGTGTACAAAACATGCTGTACTTGTATGAAACAGTAAGATTTCAAGTAGCTTAACAAAACAACAAAACGATGATGTCATTAGGACTAGTTTTTCTTGTGCTTTATGACTAGGAAATATAATTAATATGGTGAATCATGTTTTTTGAGGCCTGAATCACCACCTACTTTTAATAATGCAGGTCCCCCTCATCTGGAACCATGATCCGGCTACAATGTAATAAATCAGACCGTTTATGGATGGTCTTTGCAGGGTCTTGGCGAAGTCTTCAGCCATTTATTGTGAATGCAGTTTAACCGTTACGTATGCAGTATGATACTTTCGTAATGGCTTTTGAGAATGCATAAAATGTCTGCAGCAAGGTCATGATGGTTTACGGTTCTGGTGGAAAGGTATCTGGGACACTGGTGGAGATTTGTAGCACTGTATCCACATCGTGGGGTCCACCAGCATTGTTAGTTGCCAATAATTTCAAGCAGAACTCCTGCCTAAACTACAACCTCATCACACCACAACGTGCTTGTAGCGCTTCAAGTAAGTTATATTGAATAGTTCTCACTACAGAAGTGCTGTGGAAAATCTACTCTCAGCCACCTTTGGGACCCAACACGAGAAGCACTTAGTCTCATCATGGTCGAACCTGTGGGTCGAGGAAGGAAGAAGGGTGTGTGGTCAAGTTTCTGCATGGGAAAACATCCAACTACACCATATAACGCTGCTAAATAAAGTTTACTCTGGGGGTGCGCCAATTGCAGTTTTATGGCCAATCAAGATGTTTAAAAAGCCTGACATGCCGATTCCAATATTTTTAAATATCTGACCCTGTCAGGTGTTATAAGGTCACACTACACCTTCAATGTTCCAATCTTATTTTATCAAAAACATGGAACACCACTGAAACAATTCAAACAGTTTAAACCAGGGGTGTCAAACTCCAGTCCTCGAGGGCCGCTATCCTGCATGTTTTAGAGGTTTTCCAGCTCCAACACACCTGATTCAGTGATTGAATTAACTCTTGAAATTGGGCAGAAGCCTGTTAATCACCCAGCGATCAAAATCAGGTGTGTTGGAGCAAGAAAACCTCTAAAACATGCAGGATAGCGGCCCTCGAGGACTGGAGTTTGACACCCCTGGTTTAAACTATACATAAGGTAGTGCTCACAGCAGAGCAAATGGGGACAGTGGCTGACTTTCAGACATTTACGGATAAGATCAACTTCTCGTGTAAGTATCAGCCAATCGTGGATCACCCAGAATTAAGGAAATCAGGGCTGATCGATTGGCTGAATCGTGCACCACTAGTTTCCTCATCCACCATCAGCACTTCCATACCTGCGATCACAAGGCCTTGAATATTTTTTGTTAACTCTGGAGAGATGCCAAATTTTTAAAACACAGATCTATTGAAATCATTGATTTTACTTCTGAAACAATATTTCAATATTCTTAGTATTTTGTACAAGAAGCATCTGTTTCACAGAACATGTCTGTTCTATTTTTTGTTCATTTATTTTTCTCTGTCAAAATTTGACTGTTTTCCAGCCAAATATTCAGCCTAAATATGAACGTGTTGGCTTCTGAGTTGATAAGAGGCTGAAACTGCAGGAAGAATTGGACTGGGCCATAAAGACTGATAAAAAGATCCCTTTTATCAAACATTTTACCTTGAGTTTGCACAGCTGTGACTGTGATAACAGAAATAAAATCAACTAAGGCTCAAAAGACTTCACAAAAGGTAGCATTGCATTCCACAAAGTGGCGTTGGCATTTATGAAATGCTTTGTTCAGTTTTTCAGAAACATATGTACACCTAAAACAATTTTTCATCTATAAAAATTGCCTTTCTTTACTTTAGGTTGTCAGTCTACTGAATTGTTTCAGTGACTGTGTTTGACCCCACCTGTGAAGGCTGTTTTATTAAGACTGAAAACAAAGATAATACAAAGAGATCACACATCGTACCTGCTCCCGCACCTCTCCACCAGCCACTGCAGGGAGTCTCCGGTGTTTGCTATGTGCTCCTCTATGAACACACCTTTGGGCAGCTTGTCCACTCCAGTAAAGAGGACCATGCAGTACCTCCATGTCCCCCCACCCAAAGCTGCCAGCTGCTCCTCTGCAGCCCTCCTCTCCGTGTCGGTGAAGGGTCGGGTGACCGACACCACCAGCAGGATGGCATGGGGTCCGGGAGGGCAGAGGATGGCCCCCATGCATGGCCCCTCGCTGTCCAGGCTTGGCGGAGGCCTCGCTGGGCTTCCTGACTCCGCGCCAGCGTTGTTGTCGGTGTCGCCCTCTTCATCGTCCTCGGAGTCGGTGGGGATGGCCCACGGCGGAGTGTCGACCACCGTCACTCGTCGGCCGAAAATCTCTGTCTGGCCTACGTTGCTGTGCGTGGTCTCCGTCCCGGCGTCGAAGAACTCATCCCCCAGGATGGTGTTGGCAGAGGAGGTCTTGCCCGACTGTGGTCCCCCGAGGATGAGCAGTCGACGCTCAGGGGGGTGGCGACCTCGATGTTCCCCTGTAGCAACACAGAAAGACGAAATGAAAGCTTCTCTAGAAGGTGAGAGTTGATCTTTTAAAGGAACATGTGAAGCGCTAGGACTTCAGGAGGTCAGGAGTCTCACAGGACACTGAACCCACTTTAGAAGACTCTTTCTTGTTTATATGTGAACTGTGGTAAAGGTCCTCAAAGAAAACAAATCAAAACTTCTTGTATTTATTATGACTCGAAGTGTTGTTGTTGTGTTTTCTAGGGATGTCCCGATCAGATCCTCAGTATCAGTGGCAGATATGGCCATTTTTTGAAAATCGGGTAGAATCAGATTTAGTCATGTGATCGGGCCGATCCAGTTTTCTTGACAGTTTTCAGCATCATCATGCTTTACAACTGCTGTTAAGAAGTCAAGACGCACACAACTACACAACCATGTCCACAGTGTGGGAACACTTTTCAATGGAAAACAATGATGCTGAAACTGCATCTTGCAAAATCTGCATACTGGATGTTTCTCGTGGTGAGAACAGCAGGGCTCGCTTTAATACTACCAACCTTGTCACTTGGAAAGAAATAAAGAAATAAAGCTATCTGATCGGTATCAGAAAGACTAATCATTAAAAAAAATCGGATTGTATCGGGAGCCAAAAAAATCTGGACTGGGACATCATCCCTAGTGTTTTTCACTTTTTTTTTTAGCCATTGAATACATTTTGTTGTGTACCTGGAGTGCAGAAAAGTTGAATTTAGTCTCTCCTGGTTCTGCAAAGACATCTTTATATTCTGTTTGGGTCATATTTTTCAACCCAGTCAGTTTTCTCTAATCTCTATGATGTTTTCTGAACTATTATATCAAATTATTTTCAATGGAACAGCTACATAAGGTCTGAACTTACCAACTACAATTTCATCATTTTCCTTCTCGTCTCACTCTGGGTCAGACTCTGACTCTAACATGTGAGGCTGGATGGACAAGTCTTCTCTTGTTGACGTCTTTACATTCATTTGTAAATAAAGTTTCTGCACCACTATATAGTCATGACCCCTCTATCAAACTAGAATGAACCGGTCTGGAAGCTGTACGGACTGTGAAGCACCTCGTTTAGATTTAAAGAGACAGCCTCGAAACGAGTTGATCTGAGACCCACCTCAGAACAGGGATGAAAGAGGGGCTTGTGGAGTTACAATAAGGAGGAATTCAGACCAAAGCAACGCAGTTCCACTTCCTATAGACCCCACTGAATGATATGAATGTGAAAACAAAGGATTCAAAAGCAGGATATGTCTCATTTAAGAAAACTTTTGTTTTTTTTTTCCTCGTTACGACATACTCTTTCTCAGCCCTTCTCTGGTTCTGCTCTAACTTCCCAGATTTCTGTATTTTACATGAACTCCTTGTTAATATCTTGTATTGCCTTCTTTCTAATCGTTACTCTTTATTCTTCCCCAAACAGCAAATCTTACACTTGAATAATGTCAGGAGGAAAAACACTGAATTACTTCTTCAGAGGACTGCATGTAGACAGAAGAGGAAATGCCCTGGGTAAGTCACAGTGGAGGCAGCAGGGCTGAATGTTTGGCAGGAGATGTGTTGGACGTCCCAGGAGGATGAGGACAAGAGGAAAGTTCATTGATTCCTCTTGGCTTCTGACTGCTGATCAGACTTTCGATGTGTGATCTCTAAAAGTGCAACAGTTCCCCACTGGCTGAGGAGAGCTAAAGAGAACCGACACAGACAGCTCAGCCCAGGCGAAGTGATTTAAGGAACGGTGATGATGCAGAGCGTGAGCCAAGGAGAGAGAAAAAAAACCTCACTTACCAGAGTCAGAGGCAGAGGACACAGCAGCCATCTTGTGTGTAGAACCTCTGGCTTCCTCCTCCTCAGCCCCCCTCCTCCTTCTCCTTCTCGCCTCCACGGTGAATGCCGAGTCTTGCTCCTTCAGAAAACCCACTGGTGTGCGAAAGGCTGCTCCTCAGCTCCTTCTTCCACTTTAACCCTCATTATACTGCAGTGTTAATCGCTCCGTCTTCACTTCCCTGCTCCACACTTCCTCTCCCACTCAACCTTCTTCTCTGATCCGTTATCTTTCACCTATCGCCTCCCTGTCCTCTTCTCTCCTCCTTTCTTCCTTCTGTTTGTCTTCTTCTTCTTATCTCTCCAAGCATCCAGGAAAGATTGTGCAATGCAGGAAACTTGATGCCAAATCTGCCCCTGCCGCAGCAGCTTCAAGAGGTCTCGTCATTATTATTTCCACCCCCCTCTTCTGAGTCAAAGCTAGGGAAAGCAGTTCCTCCCACTCGGTCATATCACCCAGCTGCAGCAGCTTGGCTCCTGTATGCGGACTGCAGAGAGAGGGAGGGATGGAAAGAGGAGAGYAGAGAGAGAGAGAGGATGCGCTCTGTTCAGTTTACAGCTGGATGTTATTCCCTCAGGTGCTGCTGCTTCACACAGACACAGTAACTTATATAACCTCCGCAGACAGACGCAGAAAAGTGGGTTAATACAGCACTCATAAAACATGAACACAACACACGAGCTTACGTAACTCACGGCAGACTATAAATAGTAGCGAGCAGGAAGGTGTTATTAACTCATTTTCTGACATCCTCGCGCTAACAGTTACGTCCTGTTAATACACTAACATCACTTTCTAAAAGGTTAATACAGTTTTTAAACAAATTTACTGACATACTTCCGCGTACTTTCGCCGTAATTACACTTGAAGRACCGAAGCTGCGTCAACACACGTCTGATGTACATAAACATGTAATTTGCGGAGCAGGAAGTGACGTCATGCTCCGCGACTGCTGACTGGACCCTGGTTAATCATCGAGTCGATTGATGTAAATAGAAATGTGCAAAACTGGTAAAATATTTAATTTTAGGCTAATATAACATTTTAGGTCCAACAAATAGAAGAACAAACCCGCCAAGTGAAGAAGCACTTTGTACTTTATTTGATTTTTTTTATGCATGAAGGAAACACAAACCTATGTTTACTTTATTTTCATTTCATTTATTTATTTCATTTGCTCAAAAAATAAATATGAATAGTTCATATAACAGCTAAATACTGTATAATGAATGAAAAGGAGCAGAAAGAATATCAAATCTGCCCCCATTCACATAAAAAGACTACAGAAGACAGCAAATACACACAAAAAGTACACAAATAAACATCTATATTGCTTCACTACAATATTTTTCACATTTCTTTTTAATGCAGAAAGAGATTTAGATTGTTTTGTCTCACTATCAAGACTGAGCCATAAACATAGACTGAGCCTAACACATTTTTTACATTTTTAAGGTGACTCATCTTTTTTTGTTAACCTTCATTGCCCCCCCCCCACTCACCCCAGTGAGGACATCAAGGGCTATCATATTGTGTGTGTGTGGGGT